AAAAATACAATAAAAATATTTTAAAAAATTTTTAAAAAATTATAATCAGCATTACTGTTTGAATTTGGCTAAAATTTTATTCAAAATAAGTTTATAATTTCTATGCCCGGTAGTGGCATAGAAAGGGGGAAAGCCTGCTCCAAGCCATCCCCCAGTCCTGGGGGTGGGTTTCCCTTCTGGCAAGCTTTAGCAAGCCACTGGAAGGGAAAATCCCCCTCTACTTTTGCCCCCAAGGAACAGCTGATCTGCAGGGGCATGAACAGATAAGGAATGAAGGGACAAATATAAAAGGTTTATATTCATTGCTTCACATTCATTGGGGTCTCTGGACTCCAAGAATAAAAAGCAACAAATATCTGATGAATCAGGGATATTCGTTGAATATCCTGATTCGTTTTTATATTTGTCCCCATGTCTATTCTTTACTCATTTTTCTTAGCTTTAAATATTATATTTTAATGATGTTAACCACCACTGTATACTCATTGTTTCCAGCTTCAAATATTGTCTTTCAAATGTTGTAAGCCACCTTGGGTCCTTTTCAAGGAGAAAGACAGGATAAAATTTTTTTTAAAGAAATAAACAAAATATTATTTCCCTGATAGCTCCACAATTTACTGCAGAAGGTTTTGTTTCATGGACATAGTAGCAAAAGCATCCCAAAGGACAGAAATGGCAGCCTTTGTTTTATTTTCATTGCACGAAGGGAAACTCATAGGACACCACTTGCTTAAGTCCCTATGTGTTCCCCATGTGCCCAGAGAGAATATTAAGAAGCTTTCCTGTTCTTGCGGCACATGGATCCTGCTTCTGGAATGATTACAGCACTAACTGGGAGCTTTTCATGCCATGTATGTTGCTTCAGTGGCTAGTTGAGCTTGTGTGGAGTAGCCACAGCTTGGGAATTCAGTTTTCCTTCTTGTTTGGTGTGGAGGTGTGTAGGTGGGTCCACATTTTCCCCACCCCAGCTTTCCATGGCGTTGTGTCATTGCTCTGAATGTATGACAGCTGCTCTACTTAAGAGAAGCTAAGCAAGATTTTCATCACAACTGGTCTCGCCCATATAGTTTTTGGCCCCACAAAAATCAGTTGTCTTCCTTTTGGCCTTTTTTTTAGTGAATACAACAACATGGGTTTCGGTTTAACAGCATAGATCGAGGTGTTGTGAACATGTGATGGGATCCATTTAGGTGATGGACACTGGCTTCTGAATGAGGAGACCCCATAAGATCTGAAGAAGTATACAGTCTTTGACCTGCCCAAAATAGTATGATGTTGATCTTGCCCTCTAGTTCCAGGAGGAATCCTGGGTGGACTTGCATCCTGCTACTCCATTTCACCCCCCTGAGAAGTTTGGATAGGCAAGAGAGTATATAAGCATGCAGGTAAGTTACTTGATGGCTGGGTTGTTGCCCCCGATGCACCAATACATTTGCAATATGTAACCCATAAAGCTGCAGTCCTCAATTTCCCTTACTTCATTAGCAACATTTTGGAAATCACTCATTTGCCAAGTCAATTAGTTTCAATTGACTGCGGAATGTTACATAAAACTGATGTGAATACTGTACCAATATGATTCTGGCCATTAAGTGTCTTCTCTTTGACCTCTGCTATGCCTTTGGATCTCAAAGACATGAAAGATTCCAAAAACTAAAGCAAAAGTCTCTTCTGTGGGTTTTGCCTCCCATTTTCAGGTTAACCTGGAAGTTTTGTCACTAAAGTAGGAAATACACAATGAATTTGCAAGTCTTTTCCTTTGTTCTTCCAAATAAATGCAACTATTTGAGAACAATTTCATTACTAAGGTTATGAGACTCTTAACAATGCAGTCCTATACATGGTCACTAGTTTTCTAGGTCTTTTTAAAGTTTTGATCTTCTCATCCCCATCCAGGAAGTTCTCAGAATTGAAACTGGCAGCTGACCACCTTTCTTATGAGACTTGTAATACAACTATTTGCTGGAATATCAGATGATATGCCGCCCACTCTACCTCTGGGTAGAGTGGTTGGCATATAAATTAAATTAAATTAAATTGAATACATAATAATAATAATAATAATAA